AGTGATGTCGTTGAAGGTCCTCCTGCTTAGGGATAGATTGGAACTCTACCACATCTTCCAATTCTTCAATTCTCTATGTTAATATTGTTCCCTACACTTCTCTAGTTGTTTCATATACATGCTCCTTATCTTCCAAAGAGATTATAAGCTCCTTGAGGAGTATTGTTTTTACACCCCCGATATAAGGGAAACATAACGTTAAGCGCTAGCTTGCACTCAATGTTTGCTGATGTGAATAAACAAACACATATGCATGTATTTATGTATGTGTACGTGTCTGTGTACGTTTGTATATGTGTGTGTGTATATAACAGGTAATATTTACCTAAGGTATATATAAGCATGACACTATGTATTTGTAGAGTACCTGATGTACCACTACAAGGTAATATAGCAGAGAGTATTCTCTCCGAAGGTGAAGTGATTGGCTCTAAGTCACCTGGCTATTAAATGTTATCGACGGGACTCAAACCCTTGGTCTTCTAAGTCCTTGTAAATGAAAGACACTGTATAGTGAATGGTGGGAACATTAGATATATAAGTACCTAGGTACAAATACCAATTCTCTTAAGAACTATTTCTGAGATTTTAGATACATCATATCTTCTTAGTTTCATTATTAGTAAGATAAACAGATTGGAATACATGATTTCTAAAGTCTCTTCTAACTTTAAATCCCAATAATACCTGCAATATCCACATTAAAGAGTTGTGGGATCAATGATATTATTTATGTAAAAGTGTTTCACAAACTTAAAAGTACTACATAAATGTTAATTATCATTATCATTATTATTATTATTCCCAACCTAGGACTCTTTCCAGTAATACCACATCACTTTCACAATATATTCAAATCAAAACCTGAAGTCCATTTATCTAAAATCTACAAGACTTCAAAATCAATAACACTGCTTCTCTTAAGGAATCAAAATTTAAAAAAAAAACACCTTCCTTTGAAATGTATCTGATCAGGTACATCAGCAACTGGAAGATATTCCAAACAACAATTACAAATGTATTTTCTATTTTAATTCAGAATCCTCCTTGCCACAGTTCCATGGCCTGAATTCATATAGTTAGTACAGGGCAAGGGTTTCTAAAATGGGGGCCCCTCCTAGGGGCAAAGAGGCACATGATAAACCAACTGGAGAGTGGGAAGATAGGTTGAATACCACTTTCCCCACAAATGTGGCATGGCTTGTCTCCAATACAATCATAATCCTCTACTTCCCAACTCCTCCTATTCCCTAGCCATGTAAGCTTCCAACTTACCTCTGGCTGCCCTGGCACCATCCTCCTTAGAACAGTTATAATATAAACTCCACTCAGGCACTTCCCTACCCCATCTCTGCTCAATTATCTATACACTGCATGCCTCTTCCTGGGTACTCCCCCCACCCCACCCCATCCTGCCCCCAAATCCCCACCTGGCTCTGTGCTCTGGGACAACGGCAGGTAAGACTCTCACCCTTCCACTCCTCTTCATTTTAAATGAAACACGATGAATTGTACAGGATGAGCAGGCCAGGAAGGGTTGTAATACACACCAAAGATCTCATTACAGTATCTTTCCCCTAAAACTTATCCCTTTTCCAAACTTCCCTATTAGTTGAGGGCACCCCATCCTTCCTGTCACCCAAGTTCACAGTGGCAGCAGCAGCTCACAATCATCTTGAATTCCCCATTTTCACTCACCTCACACCACATATCCAATCTGCTGTCAAATCTTGCTAATTCTACCTCCACCACTCCTTTTCACATCTGTCTGTCTTTACTCATAATGGCACCACCCTAGCTTAGGCCATTATTACCTTTCATTTAAATTACTTCAACAAGCTCCTAATTTATTTTCCCAACTCAAGTCTGTCCCCAATCCAATCCATCCCCGACACAGCTGCAAAGTGATTTTCCTGAGATGCAGGTAGCTCCCTATTGACTCTAGGATCATATATTTCATTGTTATCTCATCCATTTTTAATTTCTATTTTTGGTGTAAATTTTGTAATGTATGTTAATTCATGTTCATGCTTATAACATAAATAAATGTGCATACAGAAACATTTTTAAGGGATGCACGAGTAACAACTTGGAGACAACTGATGCAGAGGACTAAGCCAAAGAAGCATGTAGGCACACTTTATAAGCGTGACAGAACTTTACCCAGGACTGAAGCAAGGACTAATGAAAACTAGGATTAATAACAGCATGCAAGCTCCATTTTGTTTTTTGTTTTTAACAGTATTTGTTAGGATACACACCAAAGAGGGTCTCTCTTCTTTCTATGGCAAATTCTGGTTACTGAATAAATGTATGATTTAACAATTATAATTCTTTGTGCTGAACTACTTATGGAGGAAGATGACTAAATGGAAACATACCACACAGCCAAATGAGTTAATGGTGGGGTGAACGGTGAATATGCCTTTTAAATGACAAAGGAATTTTTTAAAAATAAAATCAGATAATATCGAGGAAAGAAACAAATATACAAGGTCAGAGGAACAAGTAAAAACAGAAAGAAAATAGGTTCAAAGAATAGTTACAAACACCTGCCATAAAAAAGAAATCACAGAATCTCTGAATAGGAATGGATCCTAACACTTGTCTATTCTACCCCAAACCTGAAGAAGAATCACTGCTACAAAATTCTTGGTAACTGGTGATCCAGCTTCCATTTAAAGACATCCAATGACAATGAACAAGTGCATCCATTCAATTTTTAGACAATTCCACTGTTGGTAACTTTTTTTCTTATATCAAGCCAAAATCTGCCTGTCTACACCCTTCATCCATTGCTCCAAGTAAAACAAATCTTAGTCTTTCAAATACTTGAACACAAATGTTCCCTATCAAGCGCTCTCTTCTCTAGGCTAACCACTTCATAGGAGGCGACCACAGATCACATGATTTCTAGCCTATTCATCAGCCCTCTCTTCCTTCAAGATACAGCTCAAGCACTACATTTTACATGATACTTTTCCTGATTCCCCCAAACTGCTAGTACTTTCCCTTTTCAAACTACCTCGTATTTATTCTCTTTATATTTATTCCATATTTACTTATGTCCTTGTCTCTTCCCTCCCATTAGAATTTAAGCTGCTTGAAAGCAGGGATTGTTTGATTCATTTTGTCTGTATCCCTAGTATATACCACAGTGTTTGGCACATAATAAATGTTTAATAAATGCTTGTTGGTTGAATGATCACACTGGTTGCCTTCTGTAAGTTGTGCTCAAGTTTATTGATTTCCTTCCTGAAATATGGCATCCAAAATTGAATGGACAATATTTTATACAGAGTTTGACCACGGAGAGGTCAAGGGGCATTCTGGGCACTAATTTTCTAGAAATTTCACTTAAAACTTCATTAGCAGGAAGGTCTACTTGTGATGAAATGACTATGTACATTACAATTTAGAAAAAGTATATAAACTACAAAGATATATGACCTTTGTTCAATCAAGGGTGCATGAACTTGAGGCAATGAGGACCTGCTAATAAAAAAGCCTGCTCCACAATGCTATGTTTCAGGACTGAATCTGTAAATGACTCTACATTCCAGGTGACAGTCACTGGAGAGAAAGATATTGTAAGAGCCCTCTTTCAAGATGCCCAAATTTTAGGATAAATTGGATGGAGACTGAATCATTCATTAGAATATAAATTTACTGAGGACAGGGATTTCTTTTCATATTTATTTTCTTTTTATATTTATATTTTAATTTTTATATGAAAATATATTTGTCATTGTTCCTCAGAATATCTCTGTATTCCCAGCATCTAGCACAACACCCCACACATATGAGAAGCTTAACAAATGTTCACTGAGAGGCAGCTAGGTGATGCAGTGGATAGAGCACTGGCCCTGGAGCAGGAGGACTTGAGTTCAGAATCAGGCTCAGACCCTTGACACTTAGTAGCTGTGTGACTCTGGGCAAGTCACTTAACCTGACTGCCAGACTGGAACATATGAAAGATAGATGAAAAGGAAAAAGGAGTGAGAGCAAGTTAAGAAACTACGAATGGGTAATGCTGGAAAGGAGATAATAATGGGAATAGAAGGAAAGAGACCAATGATAAAGACATAAAATCCACAAGACTTGGTAACTGATTGGCTCAGGTGAGGGTGAAGAAAGAGTCAAAGATAACCACAAGCGTTTGAACATGTGAGACCAGGTGAATGGTGGTGCCTAAGGCAGAGCTAGTAAAGTAACAACAAGCAGTTTGTGGGAGAAAGATTAGCTCAGATACTGTAATTCTGAAATATGAGGTACCAAGAGGTTATCCAGATGGAAATGTCCCAAAGATAATTAAGGCAGAAGGTCTTTTGGGAGTCGTTTACAGAAGTGGCAGTGGGAATCATAAGTGTAGATGAGGAAGGTTGCTCAGAAAAGGCAGAAGAGACACTGGAGCCCAGTATTGGAAGAGATGACAGAGGGCAGGAGGAGAATCAGGATAAGGAAAAAAAACACCCTGCTGGCTTGCCACTAACCAGAGGTCCAAAGACCCTCCCTAAAGGGGTAAATAAACTAGGATGGGAAAACAATTATGTCTTTATTTTCACTAACTTCTAGTGGAAATTTAGCATTTTCTCTAATTATTTAAAAAACAAATTATACTGGGAAAGGGATCTATTGGCTTGACAGACTGCCAAAGAGGTCATGGCACAAAAAAGGTGAAGAATGAATTCCTATACCCACCCTATGTGACCTTGGGCAAGACCCTTTCCCTCTTTGGGTCTCAGTTTCCCCAGGTATCACGTGAGGGAGTGGAGATGGATGACCCCTAAACCCTTTTTCTAGTCTGATACTGGGTGATATGAGGTCAGCAGCACAAGGGCAGAAACCCTTGACAGGGCTGGGCACCGCAAAGGCTGCCGGGAGAAGCCTCCTCCTCGCCTCTGCCCTAGGAGTCCCGGATGTCCATCCCTGCGGTTCTCCAGCTCCGGGCCCACGGCCCTCCCGACTATCCCTCGCGGCCCCGGGTGCGTCGTCATTACCTTCCTTAAGGCACCGCTCATCCTTCCTGGTTGGAGATCCCCACGGTCTCGCGAACTTCCGAGACCTTCGCAGCTAGACAACCGGAAACGCCCTCGGAGGACAGGAATTAAAACTAGTCCGTCACAATAATATGGTATCTCGGCCACACAAATTTGGTTCCGGGGACACATAAGTACATTCTCTTTTCGAGCCTTTGCAGTTAGGGGCGAGCATGCGCTTCACTCTTGCCTGACCACGCACCTCTCTCCCAGACCCGAGACGTTAGCTTTTGAGCAAAGGGCATTTACTAGGGTGGTACAAGCTTTAAGGTGCTAAGTAAATACTTGTCATTAATGCATCTTCTACTCATTTTCCATGGCTCTCCACGACCCACAGGAGGGAGTTCGTACTCTTATCTGGTCAATCTCAATTCAGTTCAACACATTTATTGCAAAGAACTGAGCTAGGCACTGGGAACACGAAACTAAAGACTGTCCCTGCCCTGAAGGACACTGCGTTTGCGTTCTATCGAGCTATTTATAAATTTATATTTTTTATATATTTAAATATTTTTTTTAAAAAAGTCATTTGAGGAAGATCACTGACAGCCTAAGGGGTTGGGGAAGGGTTTCACAGTGGAGGTGGTACATGACCCAAGCTTTGAAGGACGTTAAGAATTCTAAGAGACTGAGATGAGAAGATAATGCATGCCAGATATCAAGGGACTGCCCGTGAGAAGGCAAGAAAACTAGACATAAAATGCCAAGTACAGCAGAGGATGAGTTGGCCACTTTGGCTGAAATATCATGAAGGGGAGCAATATTGAATAAGAATAGGAAGGTAGGTTTGCCTGTGGAGGGCTTTAAATGCTAGTCTGAAAAGACTGAGTGATATTGACTATAGGATAAAATTTACTCAATAAACATTTATTAAGCATCTACTATGAGCCAAGCGCTGTGCTAAGTGCTACAAAGGGATACAAAGATAAACACAAAACCATCACTGCCCTCAAGGAGCTTACACTCTATTGGAGGAAACAAGATGTACACATATACCAAATACATCCAGAGTATATACTAAGCAATTTCAGAGCAGAGGAACCACTAGTGGCTGAGGAAAACTAGAAAGGCCTCATGAAGGAGGTAGCTTTTTAACTGAGCTTTGAATGCGGCTAGATATTTTAAGAAGCAGAAGTGAGGAAGGACTGGCAGGGAAGACAGCCTGTACCTAGGTACAGAGAAGGCAGGTGGAGTGTCTAGACTGAGGGACAGCAAGTAGTTGGCTAGGCCATAGAATACATAACAAGAAGTAATATTTGATAAATCTGGACAAGTGGGCAGGATACAGATGGTGAAGGATCTTGTCCTTCGTTTTTATTCATTCATTTATTTATTTTTTAGGCAATTGTTGGCTTAAGTGACTTGCCCAAGGTCACACAGTTAATAAGTATCAAGTGTTTGGTCTGAGGCTGGATTTGAACTCAGGTCCTCCTGACTGCAGGACCAGTGCTCTCTCCACTTTGCCACCTAGCTGCCCCTTGTCCTTTGTTTTTAAAGAGGATCAATGATATCACAGTGGTGGGGTGTGAGTGATGTCTTAACTTGCTTGTGAAATGGATTTGAGGCAGAGTTGCACAAAGTAATTAGCCTCACTCTCTCTCCCAGAGTCACTGAAGTCCAGTGGTAAAACAAAAGACAAGATGACTGATGATGGCCCAGGATGCAGTGGATGGCCTTGGTGTCTTTGATGTCTGACCAAGCTCTAAGCATTCCATAGTGGCCATTGGAACAAATTGTTCTCATCTGACCATTCTGCCATGGAAAGTCTTCACATGCTTAGGGTAGACATCCCCCTTAATTACCAATGGTTTTGAGGCTTGTCAGTAACCCTTAACCTGGTTTAGCCTGTCTGCTAAGAAGGTTTTACCAGGATGTGACTACTGTAAATGCTACAGCTACTTTTAAAAAAAATTTAGGATATTTGATTTTTTCAAATTATATATAAAATTTTTAACATTCATTTTTTAAAAATTTGACTTCCAAATTCTCTCCCTTCTTTCCTTACCTCCCCCCTTCCTGAAATGGTAAGCAATTTGATATAGGTTATCCAGGTGCAGTCATGGAAAATATATTTCCATATTAGTCATGTTGTGAAAGAAAACATTAAAAAAACACAAGAAAAATAAAGTGAAAAATAGTATGCTTTGATCTGCATTCAGACTCCACCAGTTCTTTCTCTGGAGGTGAATAGCATTTTTCATCATGGGTCCTTTGGAATATCTTAGATCATTGTATTACTGAAAATAGCTAAGTCATTCATAGTTGACCATCACACAATATTGTTGTTAATGTGTACAGTGTTCTCCTAGTTCTGCTCACTTCACTTTATATAAGCTCATATGTCTTTCCAAGTTTTTCTGAAATCCACCTGCTCATCATTTGTTATAGCACAATAGTATTCCCTTACAATCATATACCATTAGTTGTTCAGCCTTTCCCCTCAATTTCCAATTCTTTGCCACTGCAAAAAGAGTTGCTATAAATATTTTTGTACAACTAGATCCTTGTCCCTTTTTTTCACTCTCTTTGGGATACAGAACTAGTAATGGTATTAGTAGATCAAAGGGTATGCATAGTTTTGTAGCCTTTCAGGCACGGTAGGTCCAAATCGCTCTCCAGGATGATTAGAACAATTCACAATTCCACCAACAGTGCATTGGTGTCTTTTCCCACATCCCCTCTAATATTTATCATTTTCCTTTTCTGTCATATTAGTCTATCTGAGAGGTGGTATTTGAATTTGTATTTCTCTCATCAACAGTGATTAGAGCATTTTTTACATGTAGCTTTGATTTCTTCTTCTGAAAACTGCCTGTTCAAATCTTTTGGCCATTTGTCAATTGGAGAATGACTTGTATTCTTATAAATTTTAATCAGTTATCTATATATTTGAGACATGAAGCCTTTATCAGAAACACTTGCTATAAAAATTTTTCTCAGCTTCCTGCTTTCCTTCTAATTGTGGCTATATGGGTTTTGTTTATGGAAAAATGTTTTACTTTAATATAATCAAAATAATACATAGTATAATAATGATCTCTATCTTATTTGGTCATAAGTTATTTTCTTCTCCATAGATCTAATAGTAAACTATTACATGCCTCCCTAATTTGGTTATAATGCCACCCTCTATATCTAAACCATTTTCCATTTTGACTTTATCTTGGTATGTGGTATATAAGATGTTGGTCTGTACATAGTTTCTGCCATGCTGTTTCCCAGTTTTCCCAGCAGTTTTGGTCAAATAGTAAGTTTTTGTCCCAAAAGCTTGGATCTTTGAAGGTTTATCAAAGACTAGATTACTATGGTCATTTTTTATTGTGTATTATGATCCTAATCTATTCCACTGCTCTACCACTGTATTTCTTAGCCAATACCAGATTGTTTTGATGGTTACTGCTTTATAATACAGTTTGAGATCTAGTACAGGTACGCCGGGAAGGAGCCTTCATTTTTTTTTCATTAATTCCCTTGATATTCTTGACCTTTTGTTCTTCCAGATGAATTTTGTTATATTTTTTCAAGCTCTTTAAAATAATTTTTGATAATTTGATTGGTATGGCACTAAGTAAGTTAATTTAGGTAGAGTTGTCATTTTTCTTATATTGGCTCAGCCTACCCATGAGCAATGGATAATTTTTCCAATTGTTTAGATTCAACTTTATTTGTATGAAAAGTATGCATGCTTAGCTTCTTGGAGCCACAAGTGAGAGTTGGGTGACAGGTGGACACCAAAGGTGGATGAAGGGTCTTAAATGCCAAACAGAGGAATTTGAATTTTATTCTATAAGTAATAGGTAGACACTGGAGTTCCTTAAACAGGGGTGTGAAATAATCAGACCTATGTTTTAGGAATATCACTTTGCTGTGTGAAATACAGACTAGAAAAAAAGACTGGAGGGAGAGAGACCCAGTAGGTTGTTGTTGTTCAGTCGTCTCAGTCACGTCTGGGGGAGTTCAATATTCTCTCTGAATTTGTGCCTTCCCTTATACTCTAGTATAGGCACAAAGCTTTACCTCCTCAAAATGTTCCTGAGCCTGAAAGCTCCTGAAGATTGATTATTTTTCTTCTAGACTGCTATGTTATATTGTCTTAGGCATGGGAGCACAGGGTCAGGGGGTCTAGAACCTAGAACATGGAGTGTCAGACCTGAAATGTCTTTAGACTATTAAACACTAAAACTGGAATTTGTCCCCTGGGCTTAGGCATACCTTCTAATTCTGTCATCTATGTTCTAAGGTACTTTCCAGCTTTGACATTATATGATTCTATGAGAGGAGCATGGTTGGTACTGAATGGGATGTCCCAGTGAAGACTTCTCAGTGTAGTTAAGGTAATGAGTTCAGAAGGTAGTGTGAGAAATGAACTCTCAGAAGTGAAGGTTCCTCAAAGGGTCAAATAATTCTTGATTACTACTTTCAAAATCCTCCCCCACTCAGACTCTGTTTTTAAGCACTTAACAGAAAGAATAAGCCCTGCCCCACCCCCAATCTGAGCTGTTTGTCCTTGGCTTTGAATTTCGAGCCTGGAATGTAAGCCCCACCTCCGGTTAAGGGGATAGGAAGAAACTTTTAAGCTTAGAATGTAAGCCCACCCCCAGTTAAGGGAGTAAGGGATAGTGGTGGGTGGAGACTTGTTTTCATGGTGGGCGGAGATTTGCTTTTATAAGGCGGCCCCTGTTAGGCGGTCTCTGTCTCTCTCTCCACTTGTAATGGAGGAGCAGACGGCCATCTCGCGAGATTGTAATAAAGGTAACCTTTGCTTTCCACTTTGAGAAATCTCTGAGTTTAATTTGGGTTGGGGTCGCTGTCCCAGACAGTACTGAGCACTGGCATATTGCATGGTATGTCTGAGAGAGGGGTCATGGGCAGTAGCTACATTTGCTTCACTGATCCACTTCTCCTCCTCTGCTCTGGCCATTACTGTAATCCATGTCTAACACTGAGAAAAGGCTGCTAGGTAAATGGGGCTGGGATAGTGTGTCACTCCCTGATTTGTACCCAGGCACTTGGGTTGGGTGGAGGGGGTGGAGC